GAACGCGGCGTCGTAGGCGACCAGGGGGGCGAAACGAGGTAGTTTGTTGGCGGCTGATCGCAACACCGTCCGATCCCCCTCCACACACACAAAAAGAAGAAGGCCTCCCCCCTCCCCACGCGAAATTGCGCTGGGCCCGCCCAGCGCCAAACCGGGGGACCCAACCGGCCAGGCCGCCCGGGACTCCTGCCAGATGAAGGCTGGGCTGCCGGGCGGCCCGGATTTTAACACAGATTTATAGTGCTCTTGAGTTTGATTTCTCGTTTTTTTTTTGCCTGATTGTTTTTTTGATGTTTGTGTTATGACCCTGCATAGTTTGTTTGCAAAAGTTTCAAAAACATTGCTTGTAGCGACGCGGCGAAACCCCCCGAATTTTTAGCCTTCCATTAACCGCTAGTGTGTGCTCAGGGGTACTTCGGCCAACCAGGAGGACCTGCAGAAGAGGGCCGCAGCAAAGCGCACATGGATAGACAAGGACAGGGGATATCAGAGAGTTAACGGATAGGGCCCAGCAACAATGAGCAAAGGTGTTAGGACAGGGTCTTTCTCTCTCAAGTAGATCCGATAGCCGGGGTACACCCTAGCTGAGAGGACATTGAGAATATAGGCAAGCTGACAGTCAAATCTCCACGAAGATGGAGCAATCAATGCTGCTCAGGGGTCCTTCGGCCAAACAGAAGGAAGTGTGTGTGGGTACCTTGTTGTATTCTCATGACTTGCCGGTGGAAAAGGAACCGGACGGACGCTCCCCAGAATGGATATGGATCCAGGACCATAAGGCCCTGTTTTTGTTAAGAAATAAATAAATAAAATGGATGCATCCAAGGCAGAACTAAGCAACAAGTACAGGTTGAGCTTTCTGCTGGCACCTACCACTTTCAACCTCCCATCTGATCGTCATTCGCCATATCCTGGCACAAAATAGAAAAAGCAGCTGTGACTAACTGTGATCATCGGTCCGCCCCTGTGCCCACGCAGAATGCAGCCGGCCTGCCCCGTCCACAACTTACTTATAGTCGCATGCAGAATGACCAGGGATCCTTGCAGGAGTATCTTCAATGACGGTCCGGTGCACGTTGTACTCCCATAGGACTGGCTAGTGCGCACCTACTTCTATAGCGCAGCAAGAGCATACGAGTGAGCTACTCCCGGTGGGTTGACTTTCTCCTCCGTGACCCAGTGCTACGTCCACCCGGGGCTCTTCACAGGCACCACCCTTCTCCCACCAGATCGAGCCAGAAGAGCGCTCTCTCTCCTCACCACGAGAGGACTCTCAAGACAGGACCCACTTCCTCACAGAAAAGTAGTAAAGACAGTAGATAAGGCTAGACGCCGCTACCCCCAACTGCAGATTTCTCGTCAGCAGTGAAGACGTGCATTTCGTTGACTGGTCAGTAGCATCGGAACCACCAACATTACAATGCAAGTGCCTCCATTACCGAACGCCACGTCATCTCGCTCACATCATCAAACATACACCCAGTATTTTACCAATAGGCTCTTGCTACGTCCCTCTCTACCTAGGGATAGACAGAAATGCCCAACAACATGATCGTACTCACACCACATGGGAACCAGCCCCCATGCACCGAAGAAACAATAACACTGGAGCCAAAGGAGTAAGCCTGCAAACCAGCTCTGATACCAAAGTGCAAGGAATATGAGCAATGTGAAACACAGAAACCAAATTGCAGCATTCCATAGAAATCCAGATAACTTGTTCACGACTGAAGGCACATTGCACCATGAGATACACCAAATAAGTGCGAGCAGAACACCTAAAGCCCTCTTCTTGCCTCCAACACTGATATCAATGTTGCTCATTCTATATGGCGCTCAGCGCCCAGACTATTATCAGACAGCACCTATGTACCTAGACTCTAAACCACAGCAACAGGTCTTCATGAAGTACAGCAGCCCGATGAGGAATGAAGTCTCTGACTGTAGCGGCCCGCTCATCACCACCAGGTAAGCGCCCACATGCATTCCCTGGACTTCCGCACACGGTCCCTCGGCCGAGGACCTCCATTCAACCTCCCAGGATATGGTGCCAGCAGCCCGGTTATGGTGGCTGCGCTCCAGCTTTGTCCATGCAGCTTCTTCCTCGTGCTCTGCCAGTGAGCTTTTTCACTCTGCGCGGCTCTCATCCAGCAAGCAAGCGCTCCAGCAGCTCTGCCGCCGTTCAGCCAGCCAGAATGTGTGAAGTGAGTGAGTCTCACTTCCTTTTGTGCTGGCTGGCTGGGCGGGGCAGGCTCTGGATGCTCGTCCTCTGTCCCAGTAGCTGTGTCCAGGGCCTTCCAGAATGTGCCTGGGGGCTCAACTGTAAGTGCCCTGGGCCCTAGCATCTTTGTTGGGCTCAGCATCTTCAACTGATTGGGCCTATCGGTTGGCTGAAGATCAGTTGAAGATGCTGTGTGCAGCAATCTACCCACAAGGCCCCGTTCTGCTCTCATCGGTGTAAGAAAGGCCTCGCTGGATTTCCAAGGGGCCCATGTTCACTTAGGGCAGGCGCATACAGTTTCCAGCAGGCGAAGGCCCTTTCCAACCTAGGCCGAAGGCCAAATGCTTTCCAACCTTTATGCAAGTGTGCCGCTCTGGTGGTAGACGGGTGTGTGCACTGTGTGGGCACTTGGCACTTAACCACACAAACGTGGCCATTGCAATCAGACTCAACTCTGGACTTGCTCACAACATGCACACTTGAGAACCGATGGCAAACCAAACTCTTCCAACTCAGAAACAACAATGAACTTTCTTTTAAACTCTGTTCAGAACAACTGTACAACTTGCGGCTATGGCCGCCGAACACTGTCTCTACCACCAGCCTCACTCTCCCTCACTCTCACATGTATGCACGTACGAGGATCACCCTGAATGTCCCCACTCAGCACAGCGTCACACACTCTGTACATTCGTCTACACCAACAGCTGGGCGGCTATGGCCGCTGTCGTCTTCCTCCTCCTAGCTATGGCCGCCGGTGTCTCCCTCGCTGGTTCGCTATGGCTGCTGTCTTCTTCACAGCCCACTTCTTCTCTGGGCACCTGNGTCTTCCTCCTCCTAGCTATGGCCGCCGGTGTCTCCCTCGCTGGTTCGCTATGGCTGCTGTCTTCTTCACAGCCCACTTCTTCTCTGGGCACCTGCAGACCTCCACGCACAAGATACCAAGGCAGCTCTTCCGCATGGCTCACAGGCGAATGAATGAATGGCTGGACGCTGCCTCTTTATTTATACCTCTTTGGAGGTACCCGGGCCTGCCTCAAAACGTGTGGGCCTGGGCCAAAACGTGTGGCCCAGGGAAGTTTCCAGACGTTTGGCCTTCTGGGCCAAAACGTGTGAAACCCACAACGTGCTCCAGAACCTTCCCCACGTGCAGCCCTCACCCCTGGTACTTGCTGACTGGACTGGCCTACAGGGACCTACGACCTTCTAGACTATACAGACCTACAGACAGATTCCAGTCCTCAACAGACTTCGTAGAGACTTCTAGAACAGACTCCCTAAGCCTAGTGGTAACAGACCTAGCTGCTAATCTACAGATCTAGGGATCAAGTCCTACTGCCCAAACTACATACTAATCTGGGATGTGAAACAGGTCTAGGGATCGAATCCTACTCAGCACACAGGGTCTATGTACATGTGTAAGGTAGGTCTAGGGATCAAATCTCACTTAGCACACGAGATTCGATGTACAGGGTTGTGGCACAGGTCTAGGGATCGAATCTCTGTGACTGGAATGTCAGGTCAACTGGGTGAAACAGTTTCACTCCCGCCGTCCTAAATTCGAGGTCCTCCGAGAACACCCTAACTCAAGGCAGGACCTTTGCCCTTTCTTTCCCTTTCGTAGGCGTGTACTATGTTGGGAGCGGTTTCTAAAAGCTCTGTTCTTGTAAACCATCGGTCGTCCTCGGGTTCCTGGTATGCGAACCTAACTTTGTACTGTTTTTGGGGACGACCTCGGCCTCCTGTCGTAAACACGTCCTCTTCCACAATGCCCTCTATATCATACGCGCCATCCATGTCTAGAGGAATCATCGACCTTCTGGAAGGGAACCTGTCAGACGTGGTGCAAGGTAACAACTTCGAGGCGTGGAAGACTGGGTACGTGTGGAGGTGTGCTGGGATCTCTATCGTATAGGACGGGACGTCCTCTCCCCGTTTGACTTCTAGGACAGGCTATGGTCCTCTATATGCAGGTGAGAGCTTCTGCGAGATGTTTTCCTCGTGTGTGAACTCCCTTGACTTGACAGACTAGGTCACCTACCTGAAACTGTGAAGGTCGGCGGTGCTTGTTAGCCTGCTCTATCATGCGGTGCTGGGCCTTCCTCAGGTTGTCTGTGACCTTAGCAATCTCTTGCTCATGATGGAGCGCGAACTCCCGAGTACCGGGTGGAAATCTCTGGATCTGGTCCCGGTTTAGTCCTTCTAGTGGTCGCCTAGGTTTAAAAGACTTATGTAGCTCATTAGGAGTCCGACAAGTAGCTAAGTGAACGCTGTTGTTGTAGGCACTTGCTACTTTGGGAAGCAACTCGTCCCAATCTAGCTGATCTGGTCTAATGTACATTCTGAGTAGTTGTTGCAAGATCTTATTCATATGTTCTGTCTGACCATTAGTCTCGGGGTGTCGTCCTGGCGACATCAACAACTTAGACCCGTATACTTTCATAAGATCTTGCCAGTTCTGGTTGATAAACCGGGTGTCCCTATCACTTACTATGGACAATGGCATACCATGCTCGCTTACCCAGAAATCAAAGAACTTCCTTATAACTAACTTTGTACGGGCCTCTGAAGGCAAGGGAACAAATACTGCATACTTACTAAATTTGTCTACTATGACCATGACTTGAGTTTTTCCATGTCTGCTTCTGACCCCAGTATCCATGAAGTCAATGGACACTGAATCTTCGGGTCCTGAGGGAATAGGCAAGGGTCTAAGAAGACCCAGAGGGGCTCTAGTCATAACTTTATTACGCTGACAAACTGCGCACATATTCTATGCAGTCTGCTTTCATGCCTGGCCACGTATAGGACATCATCAGGTTAGCTAAAGTCTTCTGCTATCCAAAGTGCCCTTCTGTATCGTGGCATTCCCCTAAGTTCAGACTACGGATCTCTTCACTATTGGGGACGCATAGCCTGTTAGCGACATTAGTCTTTTCAAACAGTAGCCCATTTGTGGTCCAGTAGTGTGGCTCACTATCTGGGGCTTCCCTTACTCTTTTCAGGAGCTCACTGTAGATTGGGTCCTGTGCATAGGCATCTCTTAGTTTTTGCTGCAGATCGGCCCCTATGTCTAGATAGTGTACCATCGCTACGAAATAATCAGATCTCCTGCTTGGCGCATCAGCTACCACGTTGTACTTGCCTTTAACAGGTTTTAACTCAAAGTCATACTGGTCTATCTCGGCAGCCCATCTAGTCAACTTGGGCGTCGTCTTGGCCTGTGTCTTTAGCCATCTAAGAGTCTCGTGGTCTGAGTAAACCTTGAAGTGCCTCCCAAGCAGGTAATGTTTCCAGTGTTCTAGAGCCTGCCTGAGAGCGTAGAGTTCTCTTTCATATGTAGATGCTGCGACTTTCTCTGAGGGCAGCCTAGCTGACATGAACTCCACGGGCCTATAGCCGTTGCCATCATCTTGCTGTAGAACGACGCCTATGCCATACTGACTCGCGTCTGTAGTAACAACAAATGGCAATGATGGATCGACAACTTTGAGGACAGGGTACTCTATCAAAGCCTTCTTCACTTTCTTGAAGGCTGACGTACAATCCTGATCCCACTTCCAGATAGCTTCTTTCTTCAATAGTCTACGAAGGGGAGCAGCGAGCGTAGAGAAGTTCCTCACGAACTTCCTATAGTAAGCCAGTCCTAAGAAAGAACGCAACTCTATTGTGTCTTAGGAGTTGGCCAATCTCTGATGGATGCTATCTTGCTGTCCTCAGGCCGAATGCCATCGCCGTCTAGTACATGGCCTAGGGAAAGGACCTGTGTCTTGGCCCATTCGCACTTCTTCGGGTTAATCTTAAAGTTAGACTCTCTGAGCTTACTTAGAATCTGTCGTAGATGGCCCTCATGTTCCTCGAGGGTCTTGCTGAACACTAGGATATCGTCTAGGTAAACTACGACGAACCTATCTAGCAAGGGTCTAAACAAGTCGTTCATACATCGCTGAAATGTTGCGGGTGCATTAGTAAGTCCAAATGGCATCACTATGAACTCATAATGCCCATACCTTGTCCTGAACGTCGTCTTATACTGATCGTCAGGGTGCACCTCTATCTGATGGTATCCTGATTTCAGATCTATCTTCGAGAAGTACCTGCATCCCTGTACTCGATCTAGCAAGTCATCTATACGCGGTAATGGCTCTGCATTCTTAATCGTGATGGCGTTCAGTCCCCTGTAGTCTATACACATGCGAAGCTCTCCCTCCTCCTTTGGGACAAACAGAACAAGTGCGCCAAATGGTGATGAACTAGGCCTGATCCATCCTTTTTCTAGGAGCTCATCTAACTGTCTGCGACGCTCCTCCAACTCCTTGGGAGACATCCTATAGACTGCCTCCTTACACGTTCTACTGCCAGGTTCTATCTCTATACCGTGCTGGATTGGTCTGGGCACTACTCCTGATTGTGCTTCAGACAAGTCCTTATATTCTTCCAGCAAACTGGCGATAGAAGGATGGATCTTTTCCTCTTCCTTTGGCTGATCAGAAATCGGCCTAACATACGCTACGAACACCTGCTCTTCGAGCTGCTCCTTTCACACAAGTCTGGCGAATGCAGGAGCGCTGAGGCAGCAATGGGCGAGGGGATTATCTACCCCGGACTCGTGGAACAGGCGGACTTGCTTGACTTCGCCTGACGCACTAGGGAGCCCACACTCGTGCTCTCTAAGGTGTAGTGTGGCTCCTGCTGCCTCTCCCCAATCTGTACCTAGAACAATGTCAAATGGGAGACTCTCTTCCACGAGGAGGGTCAAGGAGTGCAATACCTTCTCTACCTTCCCATCTTTCTCTAGGCGAAAGTAGGAGTGGACCCTCTCGACAAATTCTTCAACACGCATCTTGTTGTTGTCTGCAAGAATGTTGACTACAGGTTCCTCTAAGCGTTGGACTTTCTAATTAAGCTTCAACTTCTTCAGCGCCCGACGACTGATACAACTACTAGTCGCCCCACTGTCTATCAGGGCACGTACTCTAACTCTAAA